CTGCCGCTAGCCCGGTGTCTGATAATCACTGGTTATGGAATGAAAAGGGAATTTCCCCTTCCCCCAGTAAGAAAAGGATACAGTAGGAAACTGGATGCCGAAGACATGCTGAGCTCCCCGATATGAGATGTACTTCAGTAGAGATGGGTGATTCTCACTGAGGGAATCATGGGTTGCATGAAAGTGTAGTCTTTCTCTGAGTGGTACCACAGAGCGCCGGCATCAGAATTGCTTACGGCCCGCAGACAGGGATTTTTTTTGTGTGATGTCCTATGAGACAGTTTTCATATAAAAGAAAGATTGGTTTGAAACAATTCCGTTCAACTACCTTTTAAAAAATAAATTTTGATTAAGTAAGGTTGAAACCCTTGTTTTTCTTGGAGCTTTCAGTTTTAGCTAACGTAACTGACTATTTTGTTTATACATCGATCAAACTTTAACAAGCATGTTCAAGAGAGTCTTTGGTGAATGACTGGTTTTATTAAAAAGTTTCCCTATACTCCCTTCAACATTTTAAACTGCATTTGTAGATTTTATATTTTCCCTGTCCCTTTAAAGTACTTTATTATCAAAGGTTACTAAGGTTATACTAAGAGACTCAGGAACCAACCTGATGAAGCTTCCACCAGCCAAGATGGGCCCCTTGATGGCGAGTAGGGATGCGACTGCAGCGGGCTGGAGCACATCATTCACAATAACACTAAAAAAAAAAAAAAGGAATGACCCAAACCAACTTTGTTGCCTTTAGGGGCTACTACGGAACTGTCTCATTATCTTGAAGGCTGGTAAATAGAGAGAAAGAATCAAGCGTTGATCCTGCCTTTCCCATGAGATCCGTCTCTTCCGGTCATCAAACATCGATGAAGGGGAGTTTCTCTTTATAGATGTGACCCAGCTAATACCCGTAGCAAGAATGAAGGGCTCCTACCCCTGGGTAGTCCCTGAGGAATCAATGCCAGGCAGTCATCATGAATGGCTGCTAATGTCACAAAAATAGAGACACCAGACAGTATGCGCCTCCTGATGGGAACACACACCTCCACCTGTCATGTAGCTCTATAGGAAAAAAAATTGAACCTAAATCTGGTCAAGACTCTAGATGCAGCTGTTTCCAGTCTGCAGAAGGGGTAAAGGAAAAGGTTAAACTGAACCACAAGGATACAAGGAGTGATTCTCAGACTCTGGAAAACTTTACTGGACAAAATGAGTCTGTTTCTTCCACAGAAATTTTCAGCAAAAAAAATAAATAAAAGAGAAAGAGCAAGAGAGATAGAGAGATGGGGGGCGGGCAGGAGACCTATAAATTACAGGAAACTTAAAACTCACCTCTATCCATTTCAATGTATGACTTTTTCAGATTCTGTTTCAGTCTCTTACTCTGTGTGTGTGTGTGTCACGTGTGTACACGTGTGTAAAAGATGACTGGGCAAATGTGAATGCTGACAGGTATCTGATGACATTAAGAAAGTAAAGCAATTTTATTAGGTGTGATAGTGGTATTGTTGTTAGGTTAAAAAGTGCTTTTTTGTTTTTGAAGATAAATGACAACATTTACAAGTTAAATTATATGATGCTTGCTGTTTGCTTCAAATAATTGGGGTGTGTATGTGGTGAGGGGAGCTTGGTGGGTGGGAATATAGAAGAAGCAAGATTGGCCATGAACGGAGAACCGTTGAGGCTGGGTTTATTATACTTTGGTCTCTCTTTTTGTATATACTCGAAAGTTACCAAAATAGAAGTTTTTTAAAAAATGACTTTGTCTAACAACCAAGATCTCCCATATTAGGCAGTTCCTGTAAAAGAAATAAACTCATAGATGTTCCTAAGATTTTAATTTCAAATCACAACTCTAAATTATACTACATATTTTAAATTGGAACCATGAGACGAATTACCGTAGGCAGTAAAAAATAATTAAAACACCAAATACGTGCAGGTTTTTCTAAGTACAGATGATTACTATTAGGACTTGGTTTCTCAAACATGTCTATGCTTAATTCTTGGGCTGCAAAGATGCTCATGTGCCAAGGAGACATGCAGTCCCATACAAGTATGGCATTACCATCCCAGGTAGTTGTTGGGTTTGCTTTCTCCTCTGGTTGAGGATTCTTAATGACCAATGAGACCCTCGGGCAAGATGCCAACTATACCCTGGCCCAGGGAACACGGGGGTGGGGTGGGGTGGTGGGGTGCGCATCCCCAGTGCTCTTGGGAGTTGCTATGGCAACGTCCTCTAAAGGAGGGCTTCTGGCAGCCAGGGCGGTGGGTCAAAGTCCTGTCATTCCGTAATTTTTCTATTCCTGGAAGATTGTAATTTCCACTAAAAGAGTAACTAATGACCTTCATTGCTTCAGTTGGTTTTGCATTTCTCTGGTTTTTAAAAGATACTTAAATGGCTTCCTGGCTAGCTCAGAAGACCTTTAGACTTGAGGGAACTTTCTCTCCTAGGGTTTTGCCTGACTCTGCGAAGAAGGCTATTCTAATGAAACATACGAATCTAACAGTGGCAGATTCCCTCCAATGCAATGGGAGTCACACTGTGAGTTACAACTCACTTGTGGAGTCACTTTAGTGAGCCAGAGTCAGCATTTTAAAATATAATGGAATTGGAGGAAAGTATCAGAAGGCATCACACATTTGTAAGGATAAATATGATTTTTGAAACTTCAGTTTCATCTGTTTGTATTTAGAGGTAAATGGGTTTCTTATGGCGGATCACTATCAAAAATTTTGAAAACTGTCACGTCAGTGTGAGGTGGGGAAAACAGAGAGGCTGGCACACAGACACGCGCAATAATTAATCATAAACTGACAGTGAGGAGGTAAGCCAAAAAGAAAATAAATACCAAAAAACAACTCGGGTTAAAACAAACATAAGAGCTCAAAAATAGAGCAAGTGTTAGACCCAGAGTGGAAGAACCAGTTATTGTTATTGAAGATGTGGATGTTGGCATCGTGGGTTGTCTTTTAGGTCTGCTCCTTCCTCTGCATATATTGTGCACCATTTATTCCTTTTTGGTAGCACAGTGCCTGGCGCAGTGTAGGCCCCCATAAATAAATGTTTATTGAATGTAAACACTAGTAATTAGACCGCCTGTTTCGGAGGATCCGGCGGGGGAGGACCCTGGGGTCTGGGAATCTGTATTTTAACAAGCTTTCCAGGCAGCCAAGCTGCTGGCAGTTGCAGACCAATATTAAAGAAGCACTGATGTATTCTGCCCACTCTGGCCCAGGTCACACGCACAGGTAACATTACAACCAGACATGGAAATTGGGTTGTCCACATTTTGGGAGAGGTTTTTTTTTTTTTGGCGATACGCGGGCCTCTCACTGTTGTGGCCTCTCCCGTTGCGGAACACAGGCTCCGGACGCGCAGGCTCAGCGGCCACGGCTCACGGGCCCAGCCGCTCCACGGCATGTGGGATCTTCCCAGACCGGGACACGAACCCGTGTCCCCTGCATCAGCAGGCGGACTCTCAACCACTGCGCCACCAGGGAAGCCCCTGGGAGAGGTTTTACCCACAACTTCACCAGCATCTCACGTTGACCATTTCTCATCAAGCATATTGCATAACCTTCTAGCAGACGTCCTGGCCTCCGTGCTTCCTCCCTACTCCACCTCATCCTCTCTGCTGCCCCCAGGCCTTTTCCTAAACCACTCATCATTTCATTTACCTACTCTATACCTTTGGCTTTCTCTCTGTTGTCAGTAGTGATGACTGAACTCCCTACATATCCTTCAGGGCTTGCCATAGTCTGCCCCCAGCCTGGCACCTCAATTTCTTCTCTCTGCCAGTCTCCCAACTCTCTTGTTGTTTATCCCTCTGCTTCCGCAGGGGCCATCCCACACCACTTGCACGCCCCAGGCACACCTCACCCTTGCCTGACTCTTATCTTCCGCTCATGTTGTGTCCTCCAGTTGGAACAGCTTCTGTTTTCCTCTGAATTGCATCCATCCTCCCAGACCAAGTTCAATGCCACATTTTATAAATCTTCCCTGATTTGGAGCTAATCATTTCTCCTCCTTTGTTTCTCTTTTCTCTTTGCTCGTGTCTTGCTATAGCACCAAGACTCATTGCCTTGGACTTTTGTTAGTGCAGCCTGTGTTCATCTCTCTGATGAGGAAGTAAGTTCCTAGAAGGCAGTATCCATGTGTTCTTTGCTTCTTTATACATCCCACACTGCCTTACAACTACTAGTATTAAATGACATTTCTGTTAAATTGATTTTTCTGAGTTATGATTACACCAAAGCCAATATTAATTGGTAGCTTAGCCAACTAACTTCCGTAGAATGGGCTTCAGCCTCTATATGAAGGCTCAGAGCTCCTTGTGACTTCCTTGCCATTGCATTCCTTTATAAACCCAATCAAAAACAAAACAAAGACAAAAAGTACTGTAGGGTCTGTGTGCTGTTCGTGATAAAGAATTCTTTGTTTTCCTCTGGAGACGAGGTGGGCAGATAGACAAAAGGGCAGTGATCTTAGAAAGGGCTAGCAAATTGGATCCCTAATAACTGCTGTTTTTAAGAGATTGGTGGGGTGGGGGGTAGGATTTAAAGAAGTGGACGTGGCATAACAGAAAACCATAAGACAGAGGACAGCAAGTAAAGGGCATCTACTCCAGCTTCTCTTGTGCGTGAAAAAACCCTGCTGCTCTGCCTTTTTAATTTTAGCCCATCATGATTCTGCTCCAGGTCAGTTCTGTTCCATCTGTTAGCAGAGTGATATTTGGGCCATACCCAAAATAGCAAATCTTCTGCCCAGATTGGAGGTTAGAGCAGAAAGCCTGGCACAAAAGTCCACATGGCTCCAGTGCTCTTACTTCCCTGACTTTGATGCTATTAAGTAGCTTTCATGTGGTCACGTTGAGGGTGCTTTTGACAAGTGAAATCATTATTGAATGTATTTTTTGTTTCTGTGGCAGAAAGTAAACCTAGTTTTTAAAAAAAGGTACAGTCCTCAAGTTGAAATAATGATTTGTCTGTTTTTGCTGTGATAGGTTCCTTGCACTGACTCCATGGAGAGTGTATCACCTGATTTCTGTCATGATCCTTGGACGTGTTATTATGCAAATAATAAAGGATATGGTTTTGTCTAGAACAAGAGGTAAGAAAACTCAACATTCATTTTTATGGTATTTAATTTTCTAGACCCTGAATGTTTGACCTTTGTATAGGCAGATTAACTGAGCAGTCTTTGAAATGGAGCAAAATAACAGATTATATAGGGAACGGGTACGGTTTAGGGTACAGTTTAGGGTACGACAACGGTTTAGGGTTAGCGTACGTGTTAGGGTACGGGTTAGTGTTAGTGTACGGGTTAGGATTAGGGGACAGGTTAGGGTAAGGCTTCAGGTAAGGGTTAGGGTTAGGCTTAGGGTTAGGCTTAGGGAACGGGTACGGTTTAGGGTACAGGTTAGGGTACGACAACGGTTTAGGGTTAGCGTACGTGTTAGGGTACAGGTTAGTGTTAGTGTACGGGTTAGGGTAAAGGGTACGGGTTAGGGTAAAGCTTCGGGTAAGGGTTAGGGTTAGGCTTAGGGAACGGGTACGGTTTAGGGTACAGGTTAGGGTATGGCACTGACTTTTCTATTTTGAATGTTTGTTAAATATTATTTTTAAATGTATTAAATTTATTTACTATTTATTATTTATTTAACTGACGTTGTCCATAGTCATAGCTACTGCTGCTGGGCAAAAGGTTTGTGTGTGTTGGTTTCTCTTTTGGCTCTAAGTGCCGTTATTTTAAATACCATTTTGGTATTCAAGTAGGCTGCAGTGAGGATAACAGTTAAATATTTATTACATCCCACGTGATGAAACTGGGCCATCGGAAAATGGGCTAGTTTATATAAATTTTTTCTCTGCCTCTGTGGAGAAAAACAGTAAGTTCAGGGCTTAGAAACAAGTAACGGTTAAATTCATTTTTAAAAATGAATTGAAAAATACATTCGTTTTCAACACCAAATTTTTCAAAAAATTCAAGTGAGAACTTGAATTATTTAAAAAAATGTACTTCAGGTTTTCTGAGTAATATAACTGTATCATTAATCTGAGCCAGGCTTTTCCATACTTGGAGGAGTTTCCTTCTACCAGGGTTTGAGCTAGTTTTTGTAGATAGACAAAAATCCCTGCTTGGAATAATTGAGCTCCACGAAATTAAATGAAATAAGATTGATTTGATCAAAAATAGCTAAGAGGGGGTTACAGGGAAGCGGTTGATTCCACTAAAAGTAGCCCCAGATGGAGGGATGATTTTGGTAGGGCTCCATATAGGTGGACGCACGTAAGAGCTGTCCAGGGCCCGAGCCCTGGCGGGGATACTGAAGCTGCTTGTGGGAGGCACCCTTTCCTCCCTAACACTGACCCTGGGACCAGGGCTATAGGCTGTTACGGATGTACCATCGTCTGTTACGGGTGTACCATCAGAGTGTTCTATGGTGCGCTTTAAATCTGGTTTATATTTTAAGTCTTTATGGTTCTTAAACTAACTCATGTGTAAGCCATTTAGAAAGATTGTTCTCCATGGGTGTGTTTCAAGGTTTGAAGGTGTTCCCTCCCTTCACTGTTCTGGGAAGGTGAACAGGTGGGTTTTGTCCGGACATTGCTTTTCTTGAATCTGTAGGTTTAGTTCATATTCCTGTCCACATTCTTCCTTCTCTCCCTCCCCTCCTCCTCCCACCCACCTCTTTCCTGTTTCAGAGAACAGACACCTAACTCTCTGCCTTCTAACCCTAACAGGCACCTGGCCTGCTACTTTCTGTTTACGCCAGATGTGTTAATTCTGCCTAGAGGTGGGACATCTCCGAGCTGTAGGGCTTTGTGCTGGGGTTGGTGAGATCAACGCATGGCGATACCTGTGTTTCTGCCTTGATTCATAACTGATAAGAGGAGAACCTGTTTCTCTCAAATAGACTTGGTAACATTTTCACCCTCTAGGAGCTCCCTCAGAGGAATCTTAGAAGAAATAGCCACTTAACCTATTTTACCTGCAGTCATTCTAGCTCAGTAGGGCAAGGGACCTCACAAAGCAAGCTGAGCATCTCGATGTTTTCAGTGGTGTACAAATTTGGTCCCAGTCTGGGCACAAGTTTTAAGGAACGGAAAAATGGGGGGGGGGAAGGATGAAGTGGAAAGACGTCATGACTGTCCTTCTCTGGCTCTCATGAGGACCATTCCCTGCATTGCCTCACCAGCTTGACGTTCTTGCAAACGTGCAACTTTCATATTAAGTTGCAGGAAAGCTCTCCACTGCAAAGATTCAGTCCTTTAAAAAATTCGGGTGGTAGGGTGGGAAGAATACCAGTCTTCTAGAGCTAGTCGGCTCCACTTCTCAGCTGTGGAGAGGCCCCGTCAAAGACCGCATTGGTTTCCTGTGGCTGCAGTGACAAATTACCACAAGCCTGGTGCCTCAATACAACAGAAGTGTCTTCTCTTACAGTCCATAATCAGTATCACGGGGCCGAAACGAAGGTGTGGGCAGGGCCACGCTCCCGGATTCCTTGAGCATCCCAGCTTCTGCCGGTTGCTGGTATCCTTGGCTTCTAGGGCATCTCTCCAGTCTGTGCCTCCTTCTCTGCCTGTGTCAAGCCTCCCTCTGCCTTCCTCTTGCAAAGACACTTGTGATTCCATTTGGGCCTCACCTGGATAATCCAGGGCAGTGTCCCCATTTCATAGCCCATAACTTCGTCACGTTTGGTAAATCCCATTTTCCATATAAAGTAACATGTTGCAGGTTTCGGGGATTAAGACCCGATACCTTTGGGGGCCGTTATTCAGCCTCCTACATAATCCGAACCTCTTTATCCTGTGAAATGGCAAATCCTCCTTATACCGCAGGGTTGTCTAAGGGTCAGACAAGAGCGTGAAACAAAAGCACCTCAGTCAGTAACGGGCCCCTCTCTCCAGCTCCGATCCGCGACCGGAACAGCATGGGTCTGTTCACCCATCAGTCGGCCCATGTGGAGCGCCTTCCTCTCACCGGTGCCTCTCTGCCCGAGTCTACCTCTCACGCTCCAGCCTGTAGGGCAGGCGTTTGTCACAGGCCAATCTTTCTGTCCAGGTTCTCACCGGGGGACATTGCTCTGAATGCAGTGTTTCTACTGCATGAGGAAACAAGGAGAAGCAGGACTCCTGGCCGCGCTCTCCCAGCGCTCCCAGTCTGTGGCCGAGGCCGCGCTGGAGCCTGCGTCGTCCTCTGCAGTCGAGTCTTTTAGGACAAAGGCCCATTGAGCCCCATGCGTGGTCGGCAGAGCCTGGCTTTGCAGGCCCTTCAGCCCAGGGCCCTGCAGTGATGACCTGGTCTCTGGGAGGCGCAGAATCGGCTTCAAGTTGGATCCAGATGCGGGGATGGTAGCTCCATGGCTTCATCCAGAACCGCCGGGCTCTCATGAGCTACCCTGGCCCTACGGCAGGAGCAGTGAGGAAAGGACCCCCAGGTCATCTGGCCCCTCGCCTCTCCGCCAGCTTCCCCGCCTCCCACAGCATTTTTGGATGAAGGGATTAAGACTCTCTTGTTAAGATTTAATTGTACCTCTCCTCTCCCTCCCTCATATCTTTAATACCGTCTTAAGTACTTAATACGAAATAGGTGAGCAGAAGTGTGGCAACACCTTCTTGGGACTTAATCGTTGCGAAACCCAGGGACCCCGTGTCTCTGGTTTCTGAGTCACCAGTGTGGACGCCCTCGGCTGTGATGGATTTCTCTCTCACGGCCTCGCTGTTGTGTGCTTGACTGTGTGCTCCCCAGAATTAACCCCTTCCTCTGGGCTCTGGGGATGCTTCTGCGGTGTGGGAAACTCCTCCTGCGGCCTTCAGTTTTTCTCGACCCCCTTCTCCTTCTGTCTCTTTGCCAAAGAACCAGTAATTTCCACACCCCGCTGTCTTTGAGATGCTCTTCAACGACTGTGCTGGGCAGTGGAGGAGGGCTCAGCAGGTTCCTGCATGCCACCTGTGGAGGCGTCGCCAACTGCTGTCCCTTTATGCCTCTCCTCCTGCCAAATCTACACTATCCATTTGATGCCGCCTTCCGGTCGCAGTTGAACGTGGACCCACCTGCATTCGTGGCCTGTGAACTGTAGGCCTTTGTGCCCACGCCATGCTCTGTCATTCCCGCTTGTGCCCTGATGGCTCGTGTGAAGCCCGGCTTCGGTCCCCGAGACCATCCCTGCGCCTTTGACCTTAGCCTTCACAAGTTCTGTCTCCAGCCCCTGCAAGGCTGGCAGTCAGTCCTCGGTGCTTCCTCCTGTCCAGCCCCACCCCGGCCCCTCACTCCCATTGCACCAGCTCTGTGACCCCAGTTCAAGCGCGCCCCTGCTCAGCCTCTTACACTGCACCGTCCTCAGCCCTGTGCTGCCCCGCCCTGGTCTACGTTCAGCTCTTGAGGCGCTGCTGTCCTCACCGTTCTAACGTCCTCGCCCCCTTAGCCAGCAACTGTACTCATGTTTCCAATGCTTTTGTTATAATTAACACAATATCATTCAGATTTCAGGTGTACCACATAGTGACTCAGTATTTTATACATTGTGAAGTGATCACTGCAGAAAGACCAGTTACCATCTGTCACCATATAAAGTTGTTACAATATTATTAATTAGATTCTGTATGTATGCATTACATCCTCATGACGTATTTATTTGATAGCTGGGAGTTCGTACCTCTTAATCCCCTTCACCTGTTTTTGTCTATCTCCCCACCCCCTCCCCTCTGGCAACTATCAGTTTGTTCTCTGTATCTATGAGTCTGTTTCTGTTTTGTTCCTTCACTTGCTTTTTTAGATTCCACATATAAGTGAAATCATACAGTATTTGTTTTTCTCTGTCTGACTTATTTCACTTAGCCTAATACCCTCAGGTCCACCCATGTTGCCACAGATGACAAGATTTCATTCTTTTTTTATGGCCGAATAGTATTTCATTGTAATATATGTATACACTGCATCTTCTCTGTCTGTTCATCTAGGCAGAAAGCCAAAGCAGGTCACTTGCACAGTTCTAATAATCTGATAAAAGGATGCAAGCAGTTTGGAGAAACTTTTTCCTGTGGCTGAATTTTAAGAAGAATTTATCACACGCATCTTTACTAGGGGACGCTGAAGAACAAAAGGGACAACATCTTTGGCATTTGTTCGATGGAAAAAGCAGAAACTACCTCTTGGCCGTTTCTTTTCTTGAACTTCATTAAAGCTGGTAGCGGGGAGTATAGTGTCAAGGCAGAGTCCAGTGAAGAAGGTCATTGGAGAATTAAGAAAGCAGATGGGATCTAGGTGTATGTGTGTGTGTATATATAAACGTTGATTTCCTTTGAGCATAGATATAAGCTCAAAACAGCTAAAGAATGAATAGATAAAAATCTCCTTTCTCAAATAGCAGTTGTCTCAGTTCTCCTTTGTCAGTACCATTTCAGAGTTCCCCTCAAATACCACCTCTGTTATTGCTGCTTTCTTGACCAGCCACATTTTCTCTCCTCCCTGAACTCCCACGGCTTATGTTTCTTGTAGAGTTCCTACACCACCTACCTCGGTTCAGATTTGCTTGAGTGCGGGTTTGGTCTGCCCCATTGGACGGTACAGTCCCTGAGGCAGGACCATGTGTTATATGGTGCTCCGTCTTCCACGCTACCTATCCAAGTGTTTTGCATATAGTAGAATCTCAATGGATATTTGTGGACAACTTGCCTGAATGAGTTATGGTAGCAGAAGTACACGCTGTATGAACTGATCGTTTCTAGAGTTTTTTAAGATCCGAGCAGTCCATTTTAAACGGCTCAGAATATTTCTAAGTTGAGAAATGCCTCAAGAGGAAAATACCTCCATTAACATTTCACATTTACTTCTCCTATTGCAGGTGCACAGTTGTGGAGAAGCTTCAGTGAAAGGTAGGGAACATCCTTTTCATGTTATGGCTAACGGAGGGCAGGTGGGAGAGGTGACCAGGCCGCCAAGATGCATCTCTGAAACCATAGTTTAGTGACAGGATTGATCACAGTAATCTGCAAGAGTGGGAACATAAAGAAAAATACAGTCGAAGTGAGGGCGGGGATAAAATCAGGACTCGTTCTAGGAAATGGTTCATATCTTGCTGTAATACTGGGCCGTGTGCACGCGTAAGAGTCGTCATGTGTGAGGATGGGGGCGGGGGAAGATGGGGGTGTTTTCCTTGGGGATTTCCTCTCAGCCCTCACTTTGGAGCCTGAGCGGCGTGCTGTAGTGGGGGAAGAAAAGGGCAGCCCCAAGTCCCGGAACTCTGCAGGAGCATTCCCGAAGGCCGACGAGGCTGTCGGCTCTGAGGACCCTGGGGTGAGGAGACGAAGAGTAGGGCTGAGAGGCTTGTAGGTGGGAGGGGGCAGCAAACGTCCGCAGGGCTCTGGGCTCCTTGTGCGGCCACAGGCAAATGAGTCCCCTTCTCATTTGCCATCCCCCGTCCTGAAGTAAAGGCTCTCTTCTCACCTGGAAGAGAAAAGAGGTGGGGCAGGTGACGAGAGGATCAGAATTCACATCACCAGCTGTGCATATGAGAAGTGGAAAAGTGAAGAAAATGGAAGGGTCAGTATTCCAGTAAAGTGAAATTTTGTAGTTATTTATTTGTTTAAATTCTGCCTTAAGAATATCCTCGTATGACTGAAAGAGGGATGGTTCGGCGCTCGACTAACATCAAAGTGGGCAACATGCGGTGAAGGCTCACAAAGGAAACAAAGTAATGTCTTTAAAAATCCATGAAAACAACCATAACCTGGTATATAATGTACTCTTTTTTTTAAATACATTTATTTATTTTATTTATTTATTGTTGGCTGCGTTGGGTCTTCGCTGCCGTGCGTGGTCTTTCTCTAGTTGCGGCGAGCGGGGGCTACTCTTCGTTCCGGTGCGCAGGCTTCTCATTGTGGTGGCTTCTCGTTGCAGAGCACGGGCTCTAGGCACGTGGGCTTCAGTAGTTGTGGCACACGGGCTCAGTAGTTGTGGCGCACGGGCTTAGTTGCTCCGCGGCCTGTGGGATCTTCCCGGACCAGGGCTCGAACCCGTGTCCCCTGCATTGGTAGGCGGATTCTTTACTACTGCGCCACCAGGGAAGCCCCTATAATGTGCTCTTAGAGGCTGTGCTCATGAAAATAATGCTTACTTCAGGTGTAAAGGCTAATTTTATGAGCAGTCTACCTCTGCGTGCTTGTTCCTTCATTTTGGAGCCCAGATTTTCATGGGCAGAATGTAAACTTGCCAAAGACTCAGCAGAGGGAGATATTGGCTATAAGAAGGGAAACCTGATCCTCTAGGCACAGACCCACCCCTGGCCTGGCAGGCCAGCTCCTGGCTTCCGTCCTGCCCCTGCAGACACACTGGGCCTCCTTGGATAAGTGACTTAAGCTTTCTCTGCAGGTGTTTCCCCATTTGTCAGGTGAAGGAATTGAGCATGCTCCCTAATTCTGGTTGGAGGAAGAAGATCTGACCAAGTGAGTTAGTGTAATTTCAAAGAAATTTCAAAAGCTCTTCGAAGCAATACTCTTTCAGATTTACTGATACTCAGTTTGACCTGCCAAGGGCTTTGCTGAAGCCCTCGCTGTCCACAGCCCTTCTGAAGTAGTCATAAGTTGCCTGGGAGAATTCCCACTGTGCACTTCCTCTTAACATAGAAATTATTGGGATGTTTGATAAGGATCTGGAAAAAATATTAGCTATTAGTGAGCACAGCAGGACCAAGGCTCTCACTTTGCCAGTGTTGGGTTTGGTCAGGGAGCGAGTAGCTCCTTATAATGCGGCTTTTTTGAGATTTATAATATTCCACTCGTTTGGGGAGCTGCCTATGTGCCCCCAGAGAAGCCATGATCATGGAAATAGCCTTTTCTTAGGGAGGGTCTCATTTACTTCAGGATCACCCAGATGGATATTCAGATGCAGCTTGTTTTCCATCCTGGTCCCAACCCTGCAGCTAGTGATCTTGCCAAGTTCACTTATCTCTTGGCCTCAGTTTTCTTATCTGCTGAATGAAGAGGTGAGAGAGAATCATCTTGAATATCTCTTCCAGCCCTAAAAAGTCTATGATGTGATTTGAGGGGATTAGTGTTCCTTTCATACTGTTATCCATTTACCTTGTTGTTTGGCCAGTGCCTCTTTCAAAGTGATTTAATTCACTCTAGAAAGGATACTTCCCCAATTTTTTTCGCTGCACTTTCCATTGTGTAATTTCATTCTGATTTCTGTTGTTCACGCTGGAGATGTGAAATTAAAATATGTTTTCCTCTGATTTCTTTGACGATGATTTGGTTTGTTATTTACAGTGACTCTTGGCATCTGGTACTTGCTAGTGCCGTGTTTTTAACATTGAAAAATTCAAAACCGCCTTATTTGAAGAATAAAATACGGTGCTGGATAGGAGGGTCTTTGCAGGCAGAAGGAGGTGCTGTTTTGCTCATGTGAGGCAGGTGGGATTAGGATCTTTCCACTTACAAGGTCTCAGGTGCTGAGCTCAGAAATCTCGCCCTCATTTGGCGGTAGTTAGAAATCAACATTTCTAAATCCTAAAAATGATAAAATATGAACTCAACTACAGTACCTTGCCAAGTGGGTAAACCCTAGGCGTACAGCAAAAGAATTAACATCAGTGCAAACACTTTCCACCTTAGGAAACTAGATGTTTCTTCTTTTCTAATATACGGAAATTCTCCTTAATTACTGGTGGGAATGCAAAATGGTACAGCCACTTTAGAAGACAGTTTGGTGGTTTCTTACAAAACCAAATATATTCTTATCATACAGTCTGGCAGTCATACTCTTTGGTATTGACTCAAAGGAATGAAAACTTGGGTCTACACAAAAAAACAACACACAGATGTTTATAGCAGCTGTATTCATAATGCCGAAACTTGGAAGCCACGAAGATGTCCTTCAGTCAGTGAATGGATAACTAAACTGTGGTACATCCAGACAATAGGATATTAATCAGCACTAAAAAGAAATGAGCTATCAAGCCATGAAAAGACACGGAGAAACCTTAATCATATTACTAAGCAAAAGAAGCCAGTCTGAAAAGGCTGCATACAATATGATTCTAACTATAAGACATTCTGGAAAAGGCAAAATTATGGAAACCGTAACAAGATCAGTGGTTGCCAGGGGCTCTCGAGGATGGGAGGCATGAATAGGCAGAGAACGGAGGATTTTTCGAGCAGTGAAAATAGTCTGTATGTTACTATAATGGTAGATACGGGTCATTACACTTTTGTCCAGACCCATAGAATGTACAATGCCAAGTGTGACCCCTAACGTAAACTCTGGATTTGGGGTGATTATGACGTGTCAGTGTAGGTTCATCAGTTGTAACAAATGCAGCACCCTGGTGGGGAACACTGATTAGGGAGGAGGCTGTGTGTGTATGGGGGCAGAGGGTATATGAGAAATCTCTGTGCCCTCTGTTTGATTTTGCTGGGAACCTAAAACTGCTTTAAAATAATAAAATCTATTTTTAAACATTTAAAAAAGGAAAAAAAGAGATGAGCATTTCTCCCCCTCTTCCTCCTCCCCACCCCCCATTACAGCCTGCACAGCTGGGATTCCCAGGTCTGTCAGCCAGGCTTAATTGTTCCTCTTCCCAGCATTGCGCTAGTGGTTTGCACTCAGGCTCAGAATGAACCAGGCCTTTTCTCTGTAGGGCTTGTTTAAGGGCCATGACATTCACTGTTCAAAAGGTGGATGAAATCATGGACCACTCTGCCTTCATTATGCCATTGTAGAGCTTTTCCGTGAAAGAGGAGCTCCTTGAAAAGGGAACTCTGTGAACTGTTGGCAGGAATGTAAATTGGTGCAGCCGCTATGGAAAACAGTATAGAGGTTGCTCAAAAAACTAAAAATAAAACATTCAGATGGTCCAGGAATTCCACTCCTGGGTCTAGATCCAAAGGGAATGACATCACTGTCCTGAAGAGATGTCTGCACACACCTCCCCCATATTCACTGCAGCACTGTTCACAATAGCCAAGACACGGAAACAACTCAGCGTCCGCCAGTGGATGAATTGGTAAAGAAAACTGGTATATATACACAATGGAATGTTACTCAGCCATTCAAAAAAGAAGGAAATTCTACAACATGGATGAACCTGGAAGGCGTATGTTAAGTGAAATAAGTCAGACAGAGAAAGACAAATACTGTGTGATCTCCCTTTTATGTGGAATCTAAAAAAGTTGCTCATAAAGAAACAGCAGATTGGTAGTTGCCAGGGCTGGGGGTGCAAGTGAGGAGGTGTTGGTCAAAGGGTACCAACCTCCAGTTATAAGATGGATGGGTTCTGGGAAACTAATGTGCCGCATAGTGACTCTAGCTGACAATACCATATCGTGTACTTTAAAGTTGCTAAGACAGTGGATCCGAAATGTTCTCACCGCCACAATGACAAAATGGTAGCGATGTGAGGTGAGGGCTGTGTGAACTATCCAGTGTGGTAATCATTTCACAGTATGCACGTCTATCAGATCATCATACTGCACACCTTAAACTTACACAAGGTTATGTGTCAATTATATCTCAGTAAACACTGGAAAGGAAAGTAATTTTTTCCTTCCTGTAATCCTCATGGCTTATTTCACAGACTCTGGGAAAAGTTGCTTTTGTCAGCTAAGCTTAAAGCATTTCCTCCAAAATTTAGCAGGAAGATGGTGATGTCTATGTACAAGAAGGGTATTCACAAGTATAACGTGTTATACCTAACTAGTAAATAACAGTAAAGCCAGCATCAAATTTCTGATGTCTTCAACAATAAAAATTGGATCATTTTTAATCAGATGCCATTCACATATCAGTTTTTGTACGTGGAAAGTTCATTTTGTGCAAATGTGATTCTCAGTGTGTGAGTCCTAAGAAGGGCCGGTGCTTGACCTTTCTCTTTACTAAACGGTAAGCCCCAACTCTGCAATATGAACAGGATTTATACGGAGCAGTCTGTCAACTGAACCAAATTAACATCTTCTATGGCTCGTTCCTAGTCTTGGGATGAAACCTGACTCGGGGTATCATGGCTCTTAATTCTCGTGTGACTGTGGCCGCTGACTGAATAATAGCCTCTGTTAACAAAGGAGAAATTGTGCCCATTACCTTTAAAAACAAAAAATTGGTTTCAGTTTGGCCTGGTTTTTCTAAGGAAGTATAAATTAGAAGAAAGTACTTTTACTTAACGTATATATCGATCATTCAAAATTTCTTTCCCTAGTTCTTCAATAGTTTTGTACATTATAATCCAGATGAGGGAGCTCTTCTCGTCGTAAATTCTGTTTTACTGTTCAGTGTCAATTTACAGAAAATACACTTCTTTCATCAACACCACAGGATTTGGAAATTATGGCTGAGAACTCTGGGATTTAATAACAGACATCGCCAGAATCCCGATGCCTCAGCGGGTGTCTTTCACAGGAAGTGGGGAGTGGCTTTCCGAGAATGTAACAGGGGCATCAGATCTACTTTGCCTTGCCTTGAGCTGACTCTTGGGGTGGGCACAGCAGAGAATTAACAGACGCAGTCTTTCTAGAGCCAGCAGGAGTCAGAAGGAGTTGTGGGCTTTT